TATTCATTAACTCATTTATTTGGTTTTTCTGTGGGCCCATAAAATGACTATTAATTTTGGTTTGTCATTTTGCTAGTTCTGGAACTAGATTTCCAACCAACCCTATTCTCTATCTCGGTCAGTAAAGAACAATTTTAAAAGTCTGACTCAGTAAATTAGTGTAAACATTCACATTTTTAATAGTACCTTTCAAATAAGCATTACTACATTTAAATGGGTCCAAAATCAATCTGTAAGTGCTAATATAAATTAAAAAATACAAACTTAATGTAAATAATTTTAACATTAGCTATGGTATAAATAATGGTAAATGTATAGTGTACCTCTGAATCCTTAAAATGTCTTTTTAAAAAAAAAAGATAACAGTATGTTACCAGAAAATTAGAAACCACAGCCATGATTCTCAAACTTTTAACAATCTACATTGGGTACTGTTTTAGCCACTGCCGCCTTCTACAAGTCAATCAACATAATTTCCAGAATTCCATCATCTTGTTTTTCAACAGATCTTAACTTCACACTCATGGTTGAATACATGGCTCTTTTCAAATGAGTAAAACAACTGCGTTCTTAGAGATCCATTTTGCGAAGGCTCATTCGGCTAAAGGAATCTCTGGGAAAAAAAATGAGAGGATATAGTTAGAAGAAAACAATTTGTGCCTTTAAAATGTTTTATGTGCTTTTCCTGCCGGTTATCTGAAAAGTTTAGCCACAGATTCTAACTTCAAGTTAGATGCTCACCCTATGTACTCCGCTCCCCCCCCACATACATATTGGCTTACACATTTCTCTGTAGATTACAAGCATGTTACAGTAACCACTTTGCCAAGTCTATGGATCCTTTGTTCACTTGCCCACTGGTGCTGCAGAAGTGATAAATAAGGCAGGGACTTAAAAGACAATGGGAGAGATTTCAGGAAAGACTTGGGATTATTAATGGGAAAAGACAAGTGTTTTTTTAATACTAATTTTTTTTAAGTCTTGAACCAGTGGTTCTCAAACTGTCTAAGGTCATAAAATATATCAGCACCCTAGGAGTCTTTTATGTGGGTTATAAGATGGATATTCAGGGGATGATATTCTTGAAATGCCTCTTAAATTTGTTTTGCTTATCGTTCCTGTAATTAAGGTTAGCTCATAAAGCTTAACATTGCAAGGAAAGGGTAGAGCAATTACAAAGAGATCACATTCAGCTCTGAAACAAGGACATTCAGCTCAGTACAAGGAGATTCAGCTCTGAAACTCAAGTTTGCTCTGCAGGAAAACACCAGTCTTGAAAGCTAGACATTGTTCAACAAAGAAAAAGTGTTTTCTGAATCCCCCTCAAACTGCCTGCAAGTATATTAAGAACTAAAGCTTGGAGGATTGGCCAAAGGAAGGCAAAACTCAGGAGATGGCGTAGGAGAAGTTTTCTTCAGCTGGGAAGAACACAGCCTTCCCACGCAGAGTAGAGAGACCTGCAGGAGCGCCCAGGACCCTCGCCTTCTGGGACCTCTGACCTGGTGGGTGTGACACTGTTGGAGGGGAGTGGGGGCAACAGAGAAGGAAAAAAATCCAAAAAGATGGAAAGGAAACCAAAGTGTTGGGAAGCACTCTGTCGTTTCCCACTCGGAATTCTGAGAAGAAACTCCTTCACCAGGAATCTCCTATCAGTAAGAGACGGCGGAAGTAAAACGTGTTTGCTGAGAAAGGATCTGAAACAGGCCTTTTGGTCCAGCCTCAGTTCCTGCAGATGTGGAAGAGACTCAAGTGATTTATACGCTGATGGTAAGGAAGCACTTAGCAGATATTTTCTGTGTGAATAAGTGATTTTTTCCCCCCACAGGCCTAAAAGTACAAAAATATTAGACTAGATTCCCAGGAGAGTAAACAAGCAGTTCAACGTTCTTGTGCAGCACAGTATACGTGAACCTCATTCATGTGAGCACCTGCCTGGCCTTGCAATTATTAATTTATCAAGTAGTTACAATGTAGTAGTTTTGCTGTCTTAAAGTTAGTATTTCAAAGAAAAGGATGGCAAAATATCAGTGCCACATAACAGCTGTATGTAAATTTGATTTCAAAATGTAAAAAAGGCAGTTTCATTGTAGCAGTTACTGTGATCCTTCCAGAATTCAGGTGATAAAAGTAACATGCCAGGCACTGTCCTAGGAAGTTTACGTCCATAATGTGATTTAATCTCTCCCAGATAAATCCTATAATCTCGTTATACAGAGAAGAGATCTAAAAATTAAATTACCTGCTCATGTAGAACTAGGATTCAGTTGTAGAGAATTTCAAGTAATTTCCATTTCTAATTTGTCAACAGTTAAAAAAAGTAGAGAAAAATACTGAAGCCTTTTTGATACTCGATTGAATTACCTGCTTTAATACACATCTAGAACCCAGTGTATTCTATTTTTGTCAGGGCTCAGGGAAACAAGTGCCTGGTTTCTAATAGATTCTAATGAATTCTCCAACTAATGTACCAGAAAGGATGACAGGATCTTAAAAGGAATAGCTTTAGGAGGCCAAACTTAAGTGTCCTGATTGTGTGAGTACTTAGCATAACTTCGATTCTCAAATTTCAGGAAGAACTGACCTTTTATCTTGAAGAGTGATTAATGTAAGAGTAATATGGGTTGAGTACTGCCAATCGGGAAATGAAATCTGACATTGTCCAAAATCAGAAATGTTTTGAACACTGAAATGATGCTCAAAGAAAATGCCAAAAGAAAGAATTTCAGATTTTCAGACTGAGGATGCCCAACCAGTAAGTAAAATGTGAATATTCCAAAATCCAAACAAATCTCAAACCTGAATCACTTCAGTCCCGAACATTTCAGATAAGGGCTACTCAGCCTGTAAAAGGTTTATACTGGTTGAATTTGCAGGTTTCAGAGGAAAGCCCTTTAACCCCTGTCTGGATAAGCATACCTGTGGCAGGTAACAGGCAATACTGCCTTGTATAACTGAGGGATCTTTCGGTTTATCAGGGGCTGTAGGGCCTCTTTAAGGCGATGATAGTTTCTCTCCAGTTCTCTCTGATACTCCTTTTGATCTGGTCCAATTAAGCTCTTATTTTTTCTTAAGGCATCTTCACACCTAGGAAAAACAGCACGTTATATACACAAATAACAAACATAAATACAGTAGAACCTCCATAGTTGACCACCTGCCTGTGACACTGACCACCTCCTTAAGTTGACTCAATTTTCATAGACGAGAGATGCACCACATGTAGGTATCAGTACAGCAGGCCTAGTTCCTACTTCCTTATGTTGACCACCTCTGTATGTTGACCAGTTTGTGACAGTCCCTTGGTGGTCCATTTACAGAGGTCCTACTCTGTGTGTGTGTCTGTATTTACCATGATGAGGACATTTAGTTTTTCAGTTGAATGTTAAATACTCTTCCTATTTTAGGTTTAAGGAAAGGAACAGTTGATCAGCTGAGTTCCTTAACAATCTAATAAATGTTTATTCCAGTTTTTGTTAAATTGAAAATTATACACTTTTACTGCTGAATCTGAAGGCTTTTTTCACATTTCCACTAGCATAGAAGTTCTTTTGGGAATGTATTCAGACTCATTTATGTGGCACCAATGGTACCGGGCACACTACTTTGCCTCTGTTAGAACAAATAT